TTTGTAATCTTGTAACAATTAGTTGAATAAAATGAATTATGTAAATTATGAATGTTAAGAATCTCTCGTTCTACACTGCGAGACTAATCACTGTTCTGATCTGCTTCTGTTATGTTCAAATCCGTTGCGTATACGTTGCGCCGATGAAAAAGAGTGCGAAAACATGAAACAAAGCGAGAGAGTTAATTATAATTACAAGTGCTTACGGCGAGCAAGGATTAGTAGTGTGTTAGCAGTAGACCACATTAAACATGACATAAAATAATAGGAAATAAATTCGAACCTTTTATTGTGTTTTTTCAAACAAAAAAAATTGCATATTTCGCTGAGAGATTTAGTAGTTATTTGCTTTTTCCTAAGCAAATTTTTTCCATTTTTTTTATTGAAAAATATTAATTGAAACCAAAAATATTGATAGAAAACTGCTCTTAGGGGTGATTTTTGAAAATGGCTTCCAATTTTTAGTAAGCCTTTTTCTGTCGATAACAAAAAAATACGTATCTTTTATTTTTCAATAAGCTATAATATATCCAAATTGCAGCAAAATCGAGGGTGCAGAGTTGGAAACGTTGCCTTGTAAATACAATAAACAGACAACAATCATTTATGGAATTCATTTGAAAAATTTCAATTTATATGAAATGATAAATCAATGATAAATAATTTACTCTATGCGCGGAACTGGTAGATATAAAAAGACTTTGCTGAATGGTGCAAATTTAGTATTTTATTTCAATAGTATAAGAAAAAATATTGTATAACTTTAACGGGAGTCGGCTTTTTGAGCTATTCCACCATTGTATGCTGTCTCATTGTTCTAGCTGTCATGATCAAGCTGAAAATGTATGCCGCTAATATTAGTTCTAATGCTTATTTATTTAAGGTATTGAAGTGCTAGCGGTGGTTGATTTGCGGATGAAAGGTGCCAAGTGACATAGCCGCTAAAAAGCGGTCATAGAGTTCGGAAGTGAGAAAGGGATAAAGTAAGGGATTACTTATTGGATATATCCATATGTATAAATAACCATTTTACAATTTAATTTCAAACGCTCCTCAACCACCTTTGCCGCAACCTCTACTAACGGTAAATCTTCGCACCAACGATAAGCTTATTTCCTTTCTCTTTTACTTCATAGGAGATAATAGATTGCGATTTTCTAGGAGCTTAAATTAATTCAGCGAAAATTAATTCCATCAAACCGCTATAGAGCTCCAAGTGACAACGGCGCCAAATAAAGTACAATATCAGACACCACCCGGTCTACTCACCAGTACACGGAGGCACTGCTGTCTGCAGCAACAATGCCCGGTTCAGATAAGCGTTATTTCTTTGCCTTGCAAGCGCTTTATTTATTTTTGCGTGCATTGCAATACATTATTAATTCGCAATTAAATTTAGTTTCTTTCTCTCTTTTTCTTACTCACTCATCATCATAATTAACGATGCGACCTCTTGTTGTTATTTGTATTATTGCGTGCGCCCAAAATTCAACACCTACATGTTTTTTTTTTGCCATGCTTAACCCGTTAAGGCCCATGCCAAAACAGCATGAGACAGCGCTAAACTAACTATGCTATTCATAGCAGAAGTGAAAAAAAGTACCCGTGTTTTTTCTTTTGCCATTTGCAATTGTTTATAAAAAATTATTTAAACAAATTACCAAAAAAGTAAATATTTTTCAAAACTGATTGCGACAATCGATTCCTCAGGAAAAAATATGACAAAAATGTATATAACGTTTTCTTGTCAAACTTCAAATTGTTAGTGTAAAACTGCAATAAACAATTGCAGGCCGGACAGGCTCACCTGTATACGCCAAATCCCAAGCAAAATCCATGGCCTATACCGTAAATCTAACTATGCTATTCATAGCATAAGTAAAAAAAAAAGTACCCGTGTTTTTTCTTTTGCTATTTGCAATTGCTTATAAAAAATTATTTAAACAAATTACCAAAAAAGTTAATATTTTTAAAAACTGATTACGGCAATCGATTCTCCGGGAAAAAATACGACAAAAACGTATAAAACGTTTTCTGGTCAGACTTAAATTTGACGCTAGGAAATGACTATAAAGTCTATCCATCCGAAAGTTATGAATATACTACAACCTAATGGTTGGGTGGATGATTTGAAAAAATTTTTATTTTATTATAAAGGTGTGAAAACTATGTTAGAGGTTACATTTGAGTGGCAGGCTAACGGTTGGATCAAAATTTATAGATATCATTTACTTTCACTTTGAAGCATCTATCTAACTTACGAAGTGTATTCTATATTATTTCATAATTTTCACCATTTTTTATTCTTGAAAAATGTCCAAGCGAAAAATATCAAGGCGCAGAATTGCTGATATAACAGATTTTGTTGAGGTTGATGATGTCGAGTTCGATTCTCTAGCTAATTCTTGATCTGTCAACATAGCATTTATTCCCGGAGACCACGAAAGTTCTGATGGAGATTCTGATGGCGATCTGAATGAAGATGTATCATCTCAACTTATTCCTACTGGTTCTTATAAACATGTGAAAAACATTTTATACCAGTACCCAAAAATTACTAGAACCTAATCATGTTTTCTATTGGCAAGAAAAACCTATGACACATGACACCACTGTAAATGATGACTGTCATTTCAACATTGAACCGATTTCTTCTTTGTTCTATAAAAATTCTTTAGATTTGTTTGAACTATATTTTTCTAATTCCATGAAAAATTATATCGTCGAAGCTACATTAGAAAATTAACGGCATAGATAGTTTGACGGTACAGGCCATGGATTTTGCTTGGGATTTGGCGTATATGAGGTGAGTCTGTCCGGCCTGCAATTGTTTATTGCAGTTTTACACTAACAATTTAAAGTTTGACAAGAAAACGTTATAAACGTTTTTGTCATATTTTTCCCGTAGAATCGATTGCCGTAATCAGTTTTCAAAAATATTAACTGTTTAGGTAATTTGTTTAAATAAATTTTTATAAACAATTGCAAATGGCAAAAGAAAAAACACGGATACTTTTTTTTCACTTATGCTATGAATGGCATAGTTAGTTTAGCGTTGTCTCATGTTGTTTTGGCATGGGCCTTAGTGAGTTAATGTTCGCATGCTATCATATTCCAATAACCTATGCTCGCAGTCAGGAACATAAATTAATTTCATTCGTCTTTAATTTCATGAAACTAATTTCACGAAACGTGTGTGCGGTAGCGCTGAGAATACTAGGAACAGACCAAGGCGGCGGATAGCCTTACAACGAGAGTTGAAGACTTTTTAATAACGTTAAATAACACAAGTACGAGGTGTGTTCAAAAAGTAAGGTGACTTCAAATTTCACGGGCAACGTACTTTCGATTATCGATTTTTTGTTTTGTTATGTTGGTACACTCTTCCCGAACATCTGTACCAAGTTTCAAGTGTATAGCATTTTTTGTTTGGTTGTGAGAGGCGTAAAGGTTATAAGTGTTTTGCGTGCTCGGCGATTTCTTGCTATCGAAAAATATGGATCAAAGGATTTGCATCAAATTTTGTGTAAAAAATAAAATAAAGTGCTTCGAAACACTTGAAATGTTAACGGTGGCATACGGTGAAACTGTTCTGAGTAAAAAAAATGTTTACAAGTGGTACAAACTCTTCCAAGATGGCCGGGAAGATGCCAATGACGAGCCTCGCTCTGGACGCCCAAGCACGTCAACAACTGATGAAAACGTTCAAGCAGTGAAGAAAATTGTTCTGGAAAATCGTCGAATCACTATCAGAGAAGTTGCTGAGGATGTTGGTATATCGCTTGGCTCGTGCCATGAAATTTTTTCTAACGTTTTGGGCATGAGACGTGTGTCAGCGAAGTTTGTTCCGAAATTGCTAAATTTTGACCAAAAGAACCGTCGCATGAGCATTGCTCAAAAACTGTTGAATGACGTCAACGACGACCCAGATTTACTCAAATAGGTCATAACTGGTGACGAATCATGGGTATATGGTTATGATATCGAAACCAAAGTCCAATCGTCCCAATGGAAGAGCCCAGATGAGCCAAGACCGAAAAAAGCACGCCAAGTTCGATCAAATGTCAAAGTTTTGCTCACTGTTTTCTTCGATTACCATGGCGTGGTGCATCAGGAGTTCTTACCATATGGACGTACGGTCAATAAACAGTATTATCTTGAAGTTATGCGCCGTTTGCGAGAAGCAATACGAAGAAAACGCCCAGAATTGTGGAAAAACAATTCATGGCTTTTGCATTACGATAATGTCCCTGCTCACTCATCTTTGCTTGTGAGAGATTTTTTAGCCAAAAACAACACCACAATTATGCCTCAGCCACCATATTTACCGGATTTGGCCCCATGTGATTTTTTCTTGTTCCCAAAACTAAAGAGACCTATGAAAGGACGGAAATTTGCAACGATTGAAGAGATAAAGACTGCATCGCTGGAAGAGCTCAAGGCTATACCGAAAAGTGCTTATGAGAAGTGCTTTGAGGATTGGAAAAACCGTTGGTATAGGTGTATTGTATCTGAGGGGGATTGCTTTGAAGGGGACAACATAAATATTGATAAATAAATAAATATTTTTTCTTAAAAATACAAAGTCACCTTACTTTTTGAACACACCTCGTATACAAGTATATTTTGGATCATAAGCGAGCTATAGTATTTCCGAAGGATTTTAGTGCGCTGAATCGAAATCTAGCCTCAGAATTGTTTCATCACGTCAGCTTTGGATATTTCAAAAATCTGACGTGATGGAACAATTCTGAGGCCAGATCTCGATTCAGCGCACCAAAATCCTTCGGGAATACCACAGTTCGCTTGTGATACAGAAAATGACCTATTATTTGTATTCTTGTGTTATTTATTTTGTTTAACTTACCATTACAATGCATTATATTTTTTGAAAATATTATTCTGTTATTAGGTCCTGAATGATCCAGCTTATATTTGTAAAGAAAATAAATATGCGAATTTGGAAATAAATACAATTTTTAACTTGTTGTAATACTTACTTGTACTGTTTAGTGTTTGTGTTGGTTTCCTCATTGAGATACTGCATACATATATCTGTAATTTTGTTGATTTCATTGGCAAGCTCTATACTATGTTCTCCAAATCTTTCTTCAACTGCTGCAATGCTATGTTCCAAGTGGGATATAGAATCTAACCATCGACCTACAACCATATAGGTTTCATTCAAATTTCAATTTACCTATTATATTTGAAGAATGGGGCAATAGTTTGCAATTTACTATGTTATTATTATTACAGAGAAGTCTAATAAAATGGAATGTATAAAAAGAAGTGTTATGAATAACTAACAAACGAAGCTTATTCCAAAAACTTGAAAATTGATCAAAAACCATTAACGCTTCTTTTTAAAACCATGTTTGCAACAAATAGTCAAGTTAATAGAAATTGCTGTTTAAAACGTGCAAATCAGTAATGTATACTTTCAGTATTTTATTTTACGCATCAATTGGATAAATTGTTGTTTGTGATCCATCTGATAAAGTAATCCTTTTTTTCGTAAGAAAAACTTATAAATAAATAAACATTCTCTGGCGTGTTGTTAGAGTTTATATTATTGAAGCTCTTACTAATTGCCATATAAAAATTTTGTGCATTATTGGGTTACGTGTTGATTAGTTCATTCAAATAATTATAAAATAACTTAAAAGGGAATTTTACTGTTTTCGAACATTTAAAAAAAAATTTTTTCTTTATGACGTAATGCCATTATAGAACTTTCTTCATATCTTACAATAACTTTAACATTTAACTTGGTATTTTTCAGAATTTGACAATTATGAACTCAATAGCAGCTTCTGCTTTCATCGATTTGGAGCCGCCCCTGAAGCTCCGACAACAATAATGATTGTTTTTTGTAATGCAATCACATGTAGAGTATTTATGATTTGAAATAGCATAGTATAATATATTTTTTGATAAAAATCGTATTATCAGAGAACAGCTATTTAAGCTAACATAAATTTTTTCATTACCATGTTTATTTCAATCTGTATCGTTTGGACTACAATATTGATATTTTCGCCGAAATGTTTATCAAATTCTACATTCGTTATTAAGCCGTTGTCATCAAATGATGGATTTTGAGGATTGTCATAGGAACATATTGTATTCAGAAGAGGATATATGAGGGGTGTAAGAAAATAAGGTGAATTTTCAATTTTCGCGGGCTACGTAGATTCAAGTTTTGAATTATTGTGATTGTTGTATTGATACACTCGTCACGTTCATATACTCATAGTTTTAACTACATAGCACGTGTTGTTTTTCTGGCAGAGGCATCAGTGGTTAGAAGTGTTTGGTGTGCTCAGTGATTTCTTCTATAGAAAATAATGGAGCAAAGAGTTTGCATTAAATTTTGTGTGAAAAATGGAATCCAGTGCTCTAAAGCTCTTGAAATATTGACAATTGCATACGGTAAGTCTACTCTGAGTAAAAAAAATATGTATTATAACGAGTTTGACATCAACTCGTTATGTCTGTCTCTTTCTCTATATGACCATAATATTAAGAATATCATATATATAAATGTTATATTATTTGAACTATATCTCTCCTTAGCAGCAGCAGACGACTGCGGAGAAGGAAAGAGAGAGCGCTGGCAGAGAGAGACCGCGTGCCCGTGTAGGCTTAGCGACATGTCTGACGAACCGCGCGCCGCGCGCCGCGTAACGAAAGGCCAGCAATTATCCGATAGATCGCGAGCCGTGCAGAGGCATTCGATCGTGCGTGCATTTATATTAACTTTTCTTTGTGAATCGCCTCGTGGAAAGAGAGTTGGACTATGACAAGTGAGAAAGGTGCAACTGTGCGTGCAATACCTCCTCCTCCTTCGCGATTAGCGACTGTATTGTTAGGCGAATTCCGTAATCGTGCCAATCGTGTAATTGAAGGGCTTCGATTAATGTAAGTACCCACCGTTCCTTACATCTCTCTCTCACTTTGCCTATCTCGCCGCTCTCTCCGAACCGCCCTGTACACTGACACGTACACAAACTTTTTATATTCGTACACTATTAAAATTGCATGGCTTTTCTTTCGTACTACATTTCCTTCCTGTCGCTTCCCTTAACTTTCGTGATTTAAGCTACGTGACTCACGACGCTCTCCGCGAGCCAGTTGGCTATCTGATCTACCGGGCCATTCTTGCATAGCAGAAAACGCAGTGCCGCGAAGAGCTGCATTTGTGCCAGCCACTACTCAATCTTGGTTAATTAATATATTGCAGCGGTCTAAATCCCCGTTACAGTATAAGTGGTACGAGCTGTTTCAAGAAGGCTGAGAGAATATCGAAGACAAACCTCGCCCTTGACGTTCCAGCACATCAACAATACATGAAAACGTTGAAGCAGTGAAAGAAATTGTGTTAAAAAATCGTCGAATTACCATCAGAGAAGTTACAGAAGATGTTGGCATATTGACTAGCTCATGTCATGATATTTTTGCGGATGTTTTGAGCATGAGACGTGTGTCAGCGAAATTTTTTTGCTTAATTTTGATCAAAAGGACCGTCGCATGACCGTCGCTCAGGAAATGTTAAATAAAATCAATGAAGATCCTGACTTTTTCAAAAAGAGTGTAACTGGTGATGAATTGTGGGTTATGCTATCGAAACTAAAGTTCAATCGTCCCAATGGAAGAGCCCACATGAGCCAAGACCGAAAAAAGCACGCCAAGTTCGATCAAATGTCAAGGTTTTGCTCACTGTCTTCTTTGATTATCGTGGCGTAGTTCATTAAGAATTCTTACCACAAAGTCTCACGGTCAATAAGAAGTATTACCATGAAGTTATACGTCGTTTGCAAGAGGCAATACGCAAATAATATCCGGAACTTTGGTAAAACAATTCGTGGATTTTGCATCACGATAATGCTCATTCATTGTTGCTTGTGAGAGATTTCTTGGCCAAAACCAACACCACAGTCATGCCTTAGCCTCCATATTCACCGAATTTGGCTTCCAGTGATTTTTTTCTTTTCCTCAAACTTAAGAAACTTATGAAAATACATCGATTTTGAACGATTGAGGAGATAAAAACTGCATCACTGAAAGAACTCAAGGCTATACCTTAAAATGATTACCTAAAGTATTTCGATGATTGAAAAAAGCGCTGGCACAAGTGTATTATATCTAATGGGGATTACTTTGAAGGGGATAACATAAATATTGACCAATAAATAAATATTTTTTGAGAAAACCATAAAGTCATCTTACTTTTTGAACAACCCTCGTACATGTGCTTATGAGGGAGAGATAGAAAGAGAGAGATGTTTAGAAAAGTTAGAGTCGTTAAACGATATTGAGGCGCGCTTTGGATGAGAGACGGAGAGCACGGCATGAAGAGAGAACGCAAACAGTAGAGCGGGGTAATCAGGAGTTATTAGCAAAAAGAAAAGCAGGGGCTGACGTAACGCAAACGATTCCTTTGTTAGCGGGAGATAATCAACGAGAGGACTAGCAACGCTGTTCTCATTGAGGCTCAACAATAGCTACCTGAGTGTCGAGCACATGTCGCTCCTGAAGTTCCAGCATGCAGCAAGTATTTAGTTCCTCTTTCTTAGTCTCGTGCGAATGTCCACGGCAGGCCCCGTCGTGAACAGAAGTGCTCGGCGTTTATCCGCTTGAGTACCTTTCAGAACCAGGCAGAATCCCTTCTCTCTTTAGCGCTTTTCCTTATTTACCTTGGAGGAGTTCAGGCGTTCATCAGCCAAATCCTCGCACCCTAACACAGACGTGATTAGGATAAGATAGCGCTTGTAATGGTGGCTTGTCGCCACGTATAACACCTTTGTACATTGTTTTTTTTGTAATAAAGTGAGTTCAGCGAACGCGTGACTTGTCTTTGTGAAGTTTCCTCATCTTATTTCATGTGTCGCATACGATTGCAGAGTGACCCGCTTTACGTTTCCCGAAGAGATCTGCCTTTCAAACTTCCCTTTGTAAATAAATTGTGCAGAGATTCTTCTAGTAAATCATTCTAATTAAAAAATCGCGTGACAGAGTTCCAGAGAATTTTATAGGTAATTAAAAAGAGTAAAGGTTACGTGACTATAATCACGTAACAGATGCACTCGTATTATTAAACTATATAGAGTTTGATAAATTATTTCTTTTTATCACAATTTGCAGACAAATATTTGTTTTTTTTTTACAAAATACAAAAATTAATTTTGTCCATATATACGTATACACAAAAATTCAACTTTTTTCTTAAAGGTTTTCAAAATATTTCACTTGCTAGAATAAGGTCTTGTATAATCATTAATAAATCATCACTAATAAATTTGATATATTATGTAATAAGATATATTATCTGTGATAAAAATTTTTATGTGATATTAATAATAGGGAGTTCATTTGTAAAATAGAACTGAACTTATTGTATAGCAATGTCAGTCGAATCGTTTATTGTACTTAAAAACTACTGTTACAAGTATTATAGTTGTAAATCTACAGATTAATTATATACTATTATATATTATGTAATATTATATAACATTAAATCTAGAAGGGGTGGGCGGATAGTTTGTTATATTTTGCAGCATTTTTAATTTTGTTTAATTATACGAAATAAATATCACAGTTTACAAACGATAGATTGAAGCAATTATATGTTTTGCAAATATTATTATCAAATATTAATGGTTTCTAACAAACATTTTCAGTTATTAATAGACATTTAGCTTTTGTTTAAAAAATACATTTATTGCTACTCTTAACTAAAACATAATATTGTACATATAAATTGACTATAATTTCTATGCTGCGCATGCGGAAATTAATAGTATTCTTATTAGTATAGTTGTCAGAGTATTTCTAGAAATGTTCTAAGGAACTGTCCATATGTACACTTGTCCACCCGTGGCCTTCCCCTGGCCTACCCCGTGCGTTTATTATATTTGAAAGCCATCTTTTCAATCCCATGTTTATGGAAGAGTTCCAAAATCAATGTGAGAAGCATATCTTTATGATATGTTTCATCCGTGTTCTTCTGCTCCAATTTTTCTTCTTGATCATGTAAATGGCCCGTCGATTGCCGATCGTCTTCAGTAAACTTTTTTTCCCTAATATACGTCAATATTAATATATTTTTAAGATAATTTTCGTTCAATTATACTGCAAAATACAGAAAATGCAGAATTCCT